GCCTCCTTAGGTCCTTGTCTTTAGGGACTACAACCTTGCCGCGGAAGTACAGGAGGTCGCCGGAGACGGCCCACTCGTCCGAACGTGATGAGCGGGGGGCCCGAACTTGACCTCGGACCTTCAAGAGTTGCCGGGCCGCAAGCGCGACGGGCTCCTCTAGGTCAGGCTCACCGGATAGCGCTTCCTTGATGTCGCGGACAAGTTCGGAGCCAGGCCCAGAGACGGTGACGGGGCCTCAAGCGCGAACGTGGAACAGTTCGGGGCGTAAGAGGGTGACATCCGAGTTGTCGTCGGAGATACCGTGGTCGGGCCGGCGAGAGAGAGCATCGGGACGGCCCATCTGGCGACCTGGGACGTGGTGCAGCGTAAAGTCAAACCTGGAAAGGTACAACGACCATCGGGCTTGCCGACGGTTAAGGTGCTGTGCCTTTCGGAAATACTCCAAATTCTTATGGTCAGTCCAGATCTCGACCGGATGCGCGGCGCCCTCGAGGAAATGCCGATACTCCTCGAGTGCGCGGATGATCGCAAGCATCTCCTTGTCGTGAATCTCGTAGTTGCGCTGGACATCATTTAAGCTTTTGGAATAGAACGCTACAGGGTGCCACTTCCCGTCCGGGGCGGATTGTTGTGAAAGAACCGCCCCGTCGCATAATCTGAGCTGTCTGCTTCAAGTCGGAAAGGCCGGGAGTCGTCCGGGATCGCTAAGACGGGCTCTGAGACGACCGCGTCTTTGATAGCTTGAAAGGCGGCGGCTTCGGCGTCTCCCCAGGCCCATTTCTGGTCTTTCTTGGTGGCGCGAAGAGGGGTTGCGCCAGGGCCGAGAAATCCCGAATGAACCTGCGGTAGAAATTAGCAAACCCCAGGAACTGCTGGACGTCCTTCTTGTTCTCGGGCGGAGGCCATGCGGAGACTCCGGCAACCTTAACGGGATCCATTTCGACGTGGTTGTGAGAGATGATAACCCCCAGGTACTCGATTGACGATTTCTCAAGTCGCACTTCTCCTTGCGAAGGTACAGCTTGTGCATTCGGAGTCGCCGAAGGACTTCATGGACGATCTCGCGGTGCTTACGGAGGTCCGAATGCGCGATAAGGATATCGTCGAGGTAGATCATGACGTCTCCTGAGAGAATGAGATCCTGGAAAATGTCATTCATCATCGTTTGGAAAGTCGCGGGGGAGTTCGTCAGGCCAAAATACATCACCAAAGGTTCGAACAACCCTCGGTTGGTCCGAAAGGCCGCCTTCCACTCGTCTCCTTCTTTAATCCGGACGTTATTAAAGCCCCAGCGAACGTCGAGTTTGGTGAAGTAACGGGCGCCCTTAAGCCTGTTGATAAGGTCATTAATCAACAGGAGGGGGTACCGGTTCTTAATCGTCATTGCGTTGAGGGCGCGGTAGTCCTGGACAAACCGAAGTCCTCCGTCCTTTTTCTTAACGAAGAAGACGGGGGAAGCCATCGGAGATTTCGAAGGGCGGATACGGCCTGTGGCAAGTCCCTCCTCGATGAACTCGTCAAGTTCGTGCTGTTCAAGGGGGAGATCGGATACACCTTGCAATTAGCGGGCTTCGCGTCGGGAACGAGTTCGATAGCGTGGTCCCAAGCCCTCCGCTCTGGTAACGTGTCGAAGGACTCCTTGTCAAAGACGTCTTGGAACTCCTTGGCCCAGTCCGGAATCTCCGAAGGCGGGGGGGCCGAGTTGCGGGCGAAGGCCTCTGCAAGGCGTTGGGACACGGTGCTCCCAGCGCGAATCTCCTCGATTGGGCGGAAGGAGGTGTAGAAGATGCGGTCGCCGTCTTCAAGATGCTCGTCGTCGTCAAGGTCTGGTGAGCGCTCCGGAGGGTCCGAAGGAGCTCCGAGTTCGTCGTCGGCATCGTCGGGGCCAGCGATATCGATAGCGCAAACGGTGGGGAAGGCGCCCGCAAGCAAGCGCGATTTAAGGAGTCGGAGGCGGCGAACCTCAGCGCTCGGTCCGTTCCTCGTCGCGGCAGGTGGAGCAGCTTCGGGGGCAGCGGCTCATTTTCACCTCCTTTGTTTCCCAGTTGATCTCGGGGTTATGCTTTTTGAGCCAGGAGTACCCGAGTATCAAGTCCTGTTTCCCAAGGTGGGTTACAGCCAGCTGAACGCGTTCGGAGTGTCCGTTGTATCGTAGGACCAGGTCCGCGATTTGGCGAATAGACCCAGCATCATTGGGGGTGCCGTCGACGTTGTAGACCGGTATGGGTACTGAGAGATTTCGGACTGGCACGTTGTTTCGGTTGACGTATTCTGTGTCGATAAAGTCCAGGTGGCTCCGCAGTCGACCAGACCTGAGAGGGAGAGCTTGAGCGCGTTCGCAGTGGACTCAAGCTCAAGAGGAAGGTGGAGCGAGTTAACCCCAGGAGCGGCAGAGATGGTATAGCTGCCAGGTAGCTTTTTCTCCCAGGCAAGTCGGCGAATCCGAACGGGGGCTTCGGAGGGGGCAGGGGGTGCGTCTTTCGTTTCAGGCTCGTTGTAAGGCAAGGGAGTTGATTCATCATACAAACAAGTGAAACGATTTATGGACGCGAACGAGGGCACACCAGTCACTCGTCGCGGGGACAAAATCCTCTGCCGGAGCCTCCGAATGCGCCTCTGCTAAGGCCGCGGTGTCGGACAACCGTGCAAGTAGCTCTCCCAGCATCTCATCGCCAAGTTGCTGGATCACCTCGTCGAGGATGTCCATATGGCGAACATCGGCGGGGAGCGGACAGTCCCGAGCCAAGTGATTGGGGTCGCCGCATCTGAAGCAGGCTCGACGAGGGGCGCCCGAGCCCTAGTACGATCCAACTCCATAGGGACGGGAGCCGGAGGTACCGGGACGGGGCGCGGGCCGCGGGTGGCGCAGGTGCGGCCACCGGGCGGATGGGGAACGGAGTTGCCGAACGAGTGATGGGGAAGGCGCCCGCGGAGCTCCGAGGCGGTCCGCGGGGTAGCCGTTCCCTTAATGAGCTTCGCTCGCACCAGGGCTTCATATTGTCGGAAAGCCCGAGTGCGCCAGCCCAGATAGTCACGGAGGTCTGGGGGTCGTTCAAGACGTGATGCCGTTGTTGATCAGGGGGTCAAGTCCGTGGCGGTACTTGGTCACCTTAACCAACGCGTCTTGAAGCCAGCGAGGTCCATCAAGTCCTCGAAGTCGTCGGTATATCCGTAGACATCCCGCGTTCCCATGTGATACCCCCGCTTTCCAACTTAGCGGCGCGAGGTCCTGTTCGTTCTCCTCAACGAACCGAAGGCGAAACTCGGAGAGGAACTGGCTCCACCGAGGGAAGGGGAAGGGGTTTTTGCTCCCATGACGCTCTGCCCATTGCTGAGCGGGTCCCTCCGCCATATAGGACATGGCGTAGCGGACGGCCTTTTCTTCACTCGGCTCTCCGTTAACCACGAAGGCCTCCGGGGCAAGCCGAGCGTAGGTTTTGACCACGTATAGGAAGGCGGCGGCGCTTGCGATCTCCGTTAAACGCAAACGGGGGGTTTGGTCGTAAGACCAGTTTTGAGGCGACAGTAATGTCACCAAATAACGCATCCGCGTCGGGGGCATTCGGAGATGCCGAGGCGGTTCGGGAGCTGCCGGAGGTGGTGCGGCAGCGGAAGCCTGGGAAGCAAGGTGGGTGAGGATATTGGTGAGGTTGTCTAGTTTCGCCTCAAGTGCGTCCATGCGTGGCGTCAGCGTCCGGAGCAGCTCCGGTAGACATAGCGGGCGTAAAGACGACAAGAGCAGAGGAGGAGGGGTCAAGTGGCAGGGGCGGTGACGAGGGGGGGGTACGGACTCGTACTCCGAGCCTGAGTCAGCACCAAACCTGGCAATCTTGACCGGTTAATCCCGTAGAGAGTTTCTTCTGCTGTAAGGGCAACCCTGGAGACTCCGACGAAAGCCTAGCAGGGGAGGATCCAAAGCGTGAATAAAAGCTACGGGAAATACACGGAGGGACCGACCTAGCAGGGGAGGATCCAAAGAGAAGAAACTCTAAGGGTCCGCCTGCTAGGGCGCCAACTATATACTGGTCGTCCGTAACTGCCGACGTAGAGCGCAGAAGGCCTGAGCGGCGTCGCAGGCTCTGTCCCAAGGTGATCGTTGGGAGGGTCTTGACGGATCGGTGATTGTGCGGGCGAAGGAGGCCGTGGACGATGGTCGGGGTGGGTCGGAGCGTCCGAGGGGGCGCCGGTCGGATGCGCCTCGGATGCGTTCGGAGGGTCCGAAGGAGGCCGAAGCGGGGGTTCCCCTGACAATACTATCCATTTTGACCACTCTCCTACTGACGAACGACAAGCTTCGTCAGGCTTTTTGTAAGAAGATCAACAAGGACGAATGGCTTACTTGGGGTGCGCTGTCGGTACGTCCCTGCTTGAACGGACGCGCTCAAATAACAACTGTCATTAGAGGTATTATCATCGCTCCTTGGCAGCGGTTAGAGACACGCTCAAAAATCCGACCGCTGGGATTCCCTTCGCATACCACCTCATGCATATCACGAGAGAGACTGGGTACTGTTTCCTGTCTGTGTTCTCGAGAACCTCCGCTTATTCCTTTTGCAGAATGCAGAAGGAAATCTATATTCTTTCATCTAACGTCGCACCTCTCGACTTCCAGCTTTGAATATCGATGGGTAGAGGCCGGGGTGGATTGCTTGGTACTTTTTGTCAGACTTCAATATTGCGCAGTGAACAACAACATGAATTGAATTCTTTTTTGTGTCTGTGTCGGTCAGATTTTGACCTCGTCTGCTCGTGTTCGCATTTCTCATTTTTGCGCGGGCGGCGGCTAGCACGTGATCGACCACTCTTAGTTTCCGAACGTCATCATCTACAAACACCCCCATTATAGTGGGTCTCAAGCATTACCGAGAGCTTTGGGAGCGGGAAGAGCGGGAGCGTTGGGAATCCGAAAAACAACACAGCGGTCTAAACGCCGTTCGCGGTCTGTTGGCGAAATCGCCAACTACCGCACGGGCGACGAGCTTTGCGCTGAACCCGTTATCATGACGCAGTCTCCATACCAAGAGCCACAAACTCGGACATCAAGCAAAACCAAAACCCACAAAAGACACGTCGAGGCAGCCCCAGAATCTCGGACCAGTCAACGTAGCCGTCGCGATCTCAGGCTGGCGGCCCCTCAGCCTCTCCAGCTTGAGAAGAGCAATGGGAAGACTGAGATCAAGAACGCGTTTACAAAACTCTCGACGAAAACACTCTTGGCCTTTCCGCCCACAACCAGGACCAGCATTTTCACCAGCGTGAGGCAAAAGTCTCTGCTCACAACGCCCCACCCACCCAGCTGTTGCCTTACGGCCAATATTATGTTTCCGCCACGGACCTCCTATATGCGTCTTTCCAACCCCTCAGATCAACCTTCAAAACGATCTTCATCTACTCCGAGTTCTCAGACGAGTATGCTCGTCCAGAATCGATAATCCTCACCGTCCTACCTGTTCCACCGCCTCAAGTCCGACCCAGTACTGCTGTCGATGCTAGCGCCATGAGGAGTAAGGATGACAAGCTAGGAGATATTATCAAAGTGTCCGCCAAGTTCAACCGTGACGTCCGGAGATGTGAAAATGAAAGGACGCCCCGTCAAATTCATTCGTGCTTGATTGAAGGGCAAAGAAGGTCGTCTGCGGGGTAATCTGATGGCGGGTCGATTTCTCTGCGCGGAGCGTTATTCCCGGTGACTCTGAATCTGAAGCATCGAAGTATTGCCATGAACTTGACCTATCCTGAACAAGGTAAGATTCGCTATTGCTTGCATTTCTATTCTTGTTCTTATCGTCCGTCATACAACGTCAGTTACCTGCAAGAGCTCGTTGCGTGGAATTCTGTGTCATATATCCAATCGTCTCCGCCAGGCTCCACGAGATTCTCCTTCGCAGCAAGAGGTGGGTCTAATATTGCTTCTAGTGGATGACTTCGTAATAGTCCGACAGCGTGCCCTGGTGCTCAATGTCGTAGAGAATCTCGGCGCATCTGACATTGACGAGCGTTTGGAGGTACACCTCGTTGACGGTGTCACCTATTCGTTCCAAGAGCAGACGACGGAAGAACATGCTGGATGGCTTCTGTACCGCCGTCAATGCTCTCGGCATTCGCGTCAAACCGCACCTCACCCAAATTGTCTCCACCATCCGCTGGCGCTTGAACAACAAGAGTGCCCAAGTCCGTCAACAAGCTGCTGATCTCACAACTCGTCTTGTCATTGTCATCAATCAGAGCGGCGAGGACCAGTTGCTGAGCAAACTCGGGCTTGTGCTTTTCGAACAATTGGGTGAGGAGTATCCTGACACTCTTCGCTCCATTACCGCGGCCGAGGGAGCGATTGCCAATGCTGTCGGTATGACCCGAATGAACCCACCTGTCAATGATCTTCGTGAGTCTAGTCCACTTTCTTCTTATAGATCACTAACTTCTTTGTCAGTTCACCGCATGACACCAAATCTTCGCAACAGACACAAAACAGTGCAAGAAGCTTCGATTAACTTGATTCGTCGTATCGGTGCGCATTCACTCTCGACCATATCATCCTTACTCATGATTTTAACAGCAGATCGTGGGGCTTGTCAGACTGCGGGTCGGGCCGTGCGAGGACTTCTCCTAAGAGCGCGCACCCGGAACAGAACAGACGGATAGTCGGGCCCGCAAGTATGGCGGGCGGGGTAGATCGAAACCGAAAGGGCCCGTGAACTCGGTCCCTTGCCGTAGTCGGTGGTCGAAGGTTCGAATCGGGTCGTGTCGGGCCCGATGAGTCGATAGCGTCTCCTCGCACGGAGTAAGGTAGTTCTTCAGACGATCTAAGCGATAGGGTACAGGGTACACTATCGCGCATTATATACGCGGGCCCGCAAAGGGGGTGATCGGACACCCTGGCCTCTCCTCCTCCTCCTCGCTCCCGTTCCTGGCCGCAGAGGGGACGATCGCACATCCCTTGCGGGCCAGGCGCTACTCCTGACCTCCTAGCACTCCTCCCCATTCCCCTGGTGTCGAGTTGGGCTCGGCGACGGCTCGACACGTCGTTCTCGGTCACGTGCTTCCCATGTGTGCGTTCCTCCTACTGGGGCGCATGTTCCCCGTCGTCACGTGCTGCGTGTTACGGGCCCGCAATGGCCCGACACCAGCGCCGGAGCGGACGGGCCGGGTCTTATCCGTGACAGGGCTGAGTTCGTGCCTGGATGAGCATCTGCTTCGAGTTGCTGGATCTCCTCGTGGCCCACAAAAAGGCATTCGTCGAGCAGCCTCAAAACAGGCGAATGCTTTCCTTCAATATGGATGGGCTGTAGAACGTCATCTGAAGGACGGCGAGTGAGTTATTGTTTTTGAACCTCGTAACCTTTTGCTGATATTTTGGCCAGCTTTGTTCCCTTCAACCGCCAGTCTAGTCTGCACAAATGAGTATGATGACTCATCGAGTAAAGATCTTCAAGTGGGTTGTTAATCGGCTCCGTTGATTCCGACTGAATGTTTTTAGCTTGTTGTTTATTTGTGTAAGTTATTGGTGATGTCGTTAGACATCTCTTACCCAGAAATCCAGCACACCTCCCTGCAACGCCGACTTGGATGGAGACGAGATGAACATGCAGTGCGTATCGCAACGTTGACCGGTGATCCTCGTCCAGGACTGACAATCATTCAGTGTGCCTCAGAGTGAAGAGACCGGCAGAGCTCGGTCAAATAACATGGGTTCCACGCCAGGTTCGAATTGTCGTTCAAAATGCGGAAGCTCATCTTTCATTCGCACATCATCTCTCCTCAAGCCAATAAGCCAGTCATGGGTATTGCCCAAGACACGTTTTGCAGCATTCGGAACTTCACCCTCCGCGATACCTTCCTTGACTGCAACCAAGTTCAAAACATCTTACTCTGGGTTCCTGATTGGGACGGACTAGTTCCAACTCCTGCAATTCTCAAGCCCAAACTTCTCTGGTCCGGCAAGCAGATGGTCATTCCTCGCGGCATCAACATCCTGCGTGGCGCTGAAGACAAGAGCAACAACCGAGTGTTCGACGATGGCATGCTGATTGAAAACGGCGAGATCATATTCGGAAGCGTGGAGAAAATGACTGTCAGTGCCTCGTAGGGTGGTCTCGTGCACGTAGTATTTCGAGAGGAAGGGCCGGAGGCTACTCCAGGGATTCCTTTTGGTTTCAAGCACCAAACCTTGCCACATTTCACGAAGGACGAGTTTAGTCCAGAGGCTCGCGGTTCCGTGGAGAAGTCATATCTGCGCGGCTTAACGCCCCGGGAGTTCTTTTTCCATGCTATGGCTGGTCCTGAAGGTTTGATCGATACGGCCATCAAGACAGCAGAGACGGGCTACATCCAGCGGCGATTGGTGAAGGCACTGGAGGATGTGGTGGTTTGCTACGATGGTGCGGTTTAGAACTCCCTGGGCGAGTTGATCCAATTTGTCTACGGCGAGGATGGATGGATGGTGCTTTCATTGAAAAGCAGGACATCGCGACCTTCGTTATGAACGACAAACAATTGTGCCACAACTACAGAGTGGATGTGACGGACGAGAAGAGTGGTTCTATGCCTGGCTCTCCAACTTGGGCTGGATGACAGCTCGTTGGAATTACAGGCCAAACCGGACGAGGAATGCACACAACTCTCTGACGACCGTAACCTGTTGCGAACCTTCATCTTCCCCCTTGCTGACAACACGACCAACGCAGCGCATTATCCAAAATGCCACTCAAAATTTCCGATCGATCGCCGCCAACCCAGTGACCTTGAGCCAGCATACATATTTGATGGAGTCAGGGAATTGAGCGAACGACTTGTGGTCTGGAAATGATTCGATTAGCGCAATTGCTAATGGAGATGCTGTCTTGCGATTCCAAATGCACCTTTGGTCCACCTTTGCAACACGTCGTGCCCTCGAACGGTTCCATCTGACTCGAGAAGCGTTCGATTGGGTGTTGGGTGAAGTAGAGTCTAAATTCAACCCGAACATTGTCAACTCCGATTAAATGTGTGATACTCTGGCCGCACAATAGATTAGAGAACCTTCGACACAAATGACGCTCGACACGTTCCATTATGCTGGTGTTTCTAGCAAACACATGACGCTCGGTATCCCGCGTCTAGAGGAAATTATCAATGTCGCTGCCAACATCAAGACGCCTTCCCTCAATGTCTACCTCCAACCGCATCTCTCGGTCAACCGCAATCTTGCGTTGACTGCCGCTCATGAACGTCCTTGCGAACCATCACATCTGCGGTGGAGATATACTATGATCCTGATACCGGCTCGACAATCATTGAGGAGGTCGAGTCCAAGTTACATTTGCTGTCTCCATGGATCCTTCGTCCTGAATTCCTCAATAAGATGGTCGGCAAACTCACAATGCAACATATCGCGAGCCGGATTGCTGAAGCTTCAAGACGGATCTGTTCGCCATCCGGAGAAACGGCCCGGGTGTGAAGGGCAAAGTGTTTTCCGTTGAGCACGACAAGGTCGTGACAGAGGACGACGGCGAGATCGCTCTTCGCAAATGAGAGGCATGGCTTTTGTAGACCGCCCTCAAGACAGTGTTGTGCATCGACGGTATCGAGCACAAACTCCAACAACTACCAACATCTGGCAACTCTTGACGAGCTTCCTCGACGTGTATTCTTCAACTTTGCCTGGTTTGTGTTCTAAGTCATCCCCATTTCACTGACACGCAACGTATACAGTATGTACTGGCATTTCTTGGGCATGGAGCCACCCAATCCTCTAGTAGAGAATGCCGAAGACGACAAATAAATATATTTCCTGGGCACTAGTCCTTACTCTGTAGTAGAATGGCACTAGTATATCTCGAATCCCACCTATTTACGGTCACGTGGCGACGGCAGAGTTGCGGTCACGTGGCGACAGCAGAGTTGCATGCAGAAGCGGCGCCGATTTGCCGATGACTCGTCAGAATGCAGCATCCTCTTGCATCAACTCTTCCATCAACTAACACAACCATATAAATGCCGTCGCCACAAACCGACCTCCGAATCGGGTTGCACCTCAGAGTCCGCGGCGACTCCGCGCTCTCACGTCGCTTTTCACGAGAGTCATGACGACCATAAACAACAATCTAGAGTTGTTAGCGGCGACTGCTACGAGTACTATCCCAGCGGCTAGCGCATCAGCTCCCCCTCTCTCTGCCGAGCACCAACAGTTCATCGATGATATATTAAAGAATCTAGGCTTCTTACCATCAGGGTCACGGTCACCTCCGGCTTCGAGAAAACGACGCTATGGTCCCCCACGAAATGCGTCTGTTCTGTTCACCATACATCGAACGACGGTCTAAGTCGAGCTGATTTTCATATTCTAGCTCCAACCGAGAAGCGCGTTCCAACAACTGATTGATGCTGCCAAGTTCACACCTCGTGGCGCTGACGCGTTCTGGGACATGCGAAGGATTTTAGAATATGGCTGCCTGAAATCTTTCGAACAGGCTGGGGTCGAGCGGCTTCAAGCCCTGCCGGAGAGGTACCACCTCATCACTTATAAGTTATGGGCGGTCTAATCTAGGCTTCTAGCGAGTGTGCTCAGCATCATGCTCAGGTGTTCTCAACCATTTTTGCGACTTGCCGCTTTGATGTCCTTCCGGTACTTCAACATCTCTATGTTGAGTCCAAAACCAATCCTGGACCATGGAATGCACTGGGAGCTCGTGTAAGCCCTTGCTCCCATACACGACAAGTCTCTTTCTTATCCTCTAGCTTGCGAGGGCTGCACGCGATGCCCGAACCCAGGATACTAACACATTCAAGAATAATCTGCGCATTCTGCTTCCCGTTCACGGATCCGACTTCTTCTACCCACCCATCGATGTTGGATTGAGCAAATCTCATCGTGGTCTCGCTCACCCACAACTCCGGATGCTTATAATGCCATGGAAGGATCGGATTCATTTTCCACCTCTGGTGTACAGGCAACCTACGGAGTACTACCCTATGCTGTCCGTCACTGTCTTCTGAAACTTTCACAGGCCATCAATCCCTCTTTCGTGCGCAGGTTTCATTTCTCTCACTCCCTTGGACTTACGCTTACATCCCAGGCATGAAGCTCAATTGTTGTAAAAGCCCTCATCTTTCCTGTCCAGACTGATGAGCCCTCGATAGAATCAACGACAAGATTGTCGCCAATTCATACATTCCATCAGCTAATCGTTTTCCATCCTTCTGCTATCGGGAAGGAGACTGGGACCCCGAGGCATATCAACGCAACTTGTTTAAGACCATGTCAATCGTCCGAGTAAGACACCTCTTTTCGCATATGGTTCAACATCTAACAACCACCAGGGAATTCGACTACTATTCATTACTCGATCCGATGCAAGCCACGAAGCAGACCAGATCCCAACTGGTTGTCTCGCCGCCATACACAACACCTTCCGAGTAACGGTGCATATCGTGGCATATACTGTGGTGCAGGCAGGCGTATTTCTGTCATCTGCCAGTGCATATCTGACCCTACTTCAGATTCGTGTCTCTATAAGCAGTGTTTCTCAGTGGGCGACGAAGGAGAGCAAGAGATATAAGTTCACGGACCTGCAGGACATGCACCTAAAAATGCGCGCATTTCCCTGGGTACTGCCATTGGGAAGTGCGCGCATTTCCTGGGCAAGGCCGTGGCAGGCCAAAGGCTGAGGATGTGACACCAACTGTGACAATTAGTGTTTCTTGAATATCTCCTTGAATATTATAGATATGACTAAGCAAATAACATATATGATAAGCAAATCACTATTTCTTCAGGCCGAAGACCCGTAATGTCATTAAGGTATACTATATAACCCCCAAAACAGGAATATGTCCAAATTAGGCCTAAATTGATGTATCCTTATGTATTTATCAAAATGTCTGATGATAATCAAAAATCGTTCCACATCCATCAAATGGTCTAAGATGAATCAATCCCATCAGTGATATCCTGTTAAAACACTCAAAAACAAATAAAACAAAAGCTTTTAAAATGTGACAAATGTGACCCATGGGGGACTGCCCAGAAATGCGCGCACTTCCCAATGGCAGTACCCAGGGAAATGCACGCATTTCTGAGTGAGTGAGCTGGGACCTGTACAACTAGAGGTCTTCGTCGCTCGCGCCGAAGCCGGGGACCTTGCTTTACGCCGAGCGCCGGGTGTCGGCTATCATCAAAGTGACCGGAGGAAAACGTGGAACACTTCCCGACGGCAGGGCGGGAGACCTACCCGGCAGTCCACGTATGTGGGCGGAGCGTCTAGCATGTTTGTTCATTGTACAGGCTGTGTCACTGCAGTTGGTCCGTATTAAAACAATGGAAGGAGAGCCCTGGTTGGCAGTCATCCGAAGAACTATGGAGCCAACAATCACTTTCGGCGTTCCTCTCCCACCATACATGCGTAACGACCCCCCTGTTTTGCAATTGGACTACAGTACTGCGACTCGACGAGGGAGTACGCTGATCCGTTTTGTCAAGGACATCTCGGCCAGCACCACCGGGGCGTTTAGCATCAAGTTCGTCGGCACGCTAAGGGCAATGAGCTCTGATCCATACAGCAGGCTTTCGGGCCAGAGTGTACGATGTTCTTTAACTCTAGCATACTCCTCACGGTCTTAGGTGCTCGTACTTGGTCGTCCGGGGGGCATCCACGCGGCATCGTTCGGGAGCACCATCAACGCCTTAGAGCAAGTAGTGGAGTCGCCTTTCCGAACAAGAAGGGTTAGTCACTTTACATGAAAGAAGTTAGTGTTGCAAATAATGTTTAGCAGACGGCCCACTCCATTCGCCGGTGTTACGAGCAGCCAACGCGGCGTACGACTGGCCGACTTCTTGTAGAGTACAACTCCAAGACACTTCAGGTTTGTGGCATGATCCCCGAGGGCTCGCATTCACCAAGCCGCTTTTGCAGACGAAGCTGGACCTCAATCAGTCAGCTCATGTCCCGGTAGCGGAGGCGGACTGTCCAGTGTTGGAGCTTGGGGCTATGATCCACGTAGAAGCCTTCATCACACGGGAGGATAAACCTGTGTACGGAGGTGAGGTCAGGGAGAGTGTGAGTAACATTTAATCATCACCCTTGCGTGTGTTCTCGCTGAACCGACATTTCAGACTTGGGTTTTGCGCGCCTCGGTCATTCGCCGCGTTTATACTTCAAGTTCTCAGAACGCTGGCGGTTTGTCGCAGGAGTAGCTTAAGTCGGTGTTCTGAATGTTACCGTCGTTGTATCTTCTTATTTTGATGCGTGGAGTGAGACACCGGGGGGTGTCGCAACGCGTAAGCAAGCAAGCGGCGGGGTGCGGCCGCGACGTGAGGCCTGAGTTCCCGTATGTTTATAAGGAAGGGGGATTTTTTCGTTGTCGGCAGTGGAATGGCGACTTTCCTCGATAACCGCAACCCCTTATTTGAGC